GAGGGATGGAGGGGGAAAAAGAGAGGGGGGGAGAGAGAGAGAGAGAGAGAGAGAGAGAGAGAGAGAGATGAGAGACACATCTATGTGAGAGAGACACATTGAATGATTGCCTCCAGGATACACTCCAACTGGAGCCAGGTATGGAAGCTACAACCGAGGTACCTGCCCTTGACCGGGAATCAAACCCACAACCCTATGCTCTAACCACTGAGTAACACTGTCCAGGGCTTCATATATTTTTAACTGCTTACCATAAAAAGCCTATTTATACCTTGAGTCAAAAAACGTATTTTTTCAAAGTAAGTTCTTAAGTCACACAATGAGGAAGATTTATTCTATTTTGTATCATCCATAGAATTTAATAACATACATTCTTAAAAAGAAGGGGTGTAGGCCAAATTTAAGAATATGTCATTTGGCCCTGACCAGTTTGGCTCAATGGATAGAGCGTCGGCCTGCGGACTGAAGGGTCCCAGGTTCGATTCCAGTCAAGGGCATGTACCGTGGTTGTGGGCACATCCCCAGTAGGTGGTGTGCAGGCGGCAGCTGATCATGTTTCTAACTCTCTATCCCTCTCCCTTCCTCTCTGTAAAAAATTAATAAAATATATTAAAAAAAGAATATGGCATTTGTATTCAATGTGTACAATAATCCAAATCAAAGGAAAATGAAATTTCTAATATACTGAGTCACTCTTAGACACAAAATACAGACGATATGATTATTTCAAGATTAGAGTTATACTTCTTGAGATAATTTATTAATCTGCTCATTATTTTGTTTATTTTTTATATTTTATTGATTTTTTACAGAGAGGAAGGGAGAGGGATAGAGTTAGAAACATTGATGAGAGAGAAACATCGATCAGCTGCCTCCTGCACACCCCCTACTGGGGATGGGCCAGCAAACAAGGTACACGCCCTTGACCAGAATTGATCCAGGGACGCTTCAGTTCGCAGGCCAACATTCTATCCACTAAGCCAGTGGTCGGCAAACTGCGGCTCGCGAGCCACATGCGGCTCTTTGGCCCCTTGAGTGTGGCTCTTCCACAAAATACCACGTGTGGGCACGCACGTACAGTGGGATTGAAACTTTGTGGCCCAGGTGCAGAAGTCGGTTTTCGGCCTGGGGGAGCCTATTTTGAAGAAGTGGAGTTAGAAGAAGTGGGGGGTGTCGGTTGGTGGGGCAATGGGAAACGCGGCGCATGCGTATTTATTAAATGTCTAGTGAAAGGCAATTTGCATAGTTACTGCTCTCAATATTCACTTGACTGAGAAAGATCAACCAGTACAATATAAAATACTACTAGTCCCCAAGGAATGATAAAACATCCAAATAGCTTTGGTCACTTGGGCAGTATTACTCAAGGTGATCATGCTGATTGAGAATCATTATGAACAGGATAAAATCACAACTGTGACTACATATTGGCCTCATTTACTTACTAAAAACAGATCACATCAACAATATTGTATGTGTTGCCACATGTTAGTTAACTCAGTTCAAGAGTATTTATCTACTCCTTTGTTGGTTATTTTATGCCATGCTAATGGCTAGCTACATGTTAAAATAAGAGTCTGTAGAAAATATTATATCTAAAGATGTAGAGTAAGAGGATAGCTATACAAAATCCAAAAACCAACTAAAGAAAATCATCTTAAGCCAGTCCAAGCTTTGTTTGACCTGGTGTGTTTTGTTTGACTCTGTTCAAAACTTGAGTGAATGCCCAGCCAGCATGGCACAGTGGTAGGTCATGGCTTGATTCCTGGTCAGGACACATGCCTGGGTTGCAGGCCCCATCCCCAGGGGGGGGGGGGGGGGGGGGGGCATGCAGGAGGCAGCTGATCGACGATTGATGTTTCTATCTCTCTCTCCCTCTCTCTTCCTCTCTGAAATCAATAAAGATATATATATATAGAGAGAGATATATAGATATATAGATATATATTTAAAAACTTGAGTTAAAGTCCTCAATTTTAAGCCACTCTATCTAAAAAATGGATAGAATCATTCAAAAGAAGTTTTGATCATTACAACTAAAATTCAAAATAAAAGTACTACTTAAATAAGTAGAAAGAAGTTCAAATATAAAACAATATGGCCCCTATAATAACAACTAATTCTTGAGAGATAATATATAATCTTTTAAATATAAAACCATAGTATTTTAGATAATCTTGTAGATCCACTAGCCCACACTCATAATAACAAAACCATCATGTACTGAGTGATTAGTATTTTAAGCTATATATTTTATCGAATTTAAGCTACATAATCCAGTAAACTACTAATACCCCTATCTTATAATGGTGGGAACGGAAGCACAAAAAAAACGGTAATAACACACTCAGCATTACACTAATAATAAATAGTAAACTTCAGATTTGAACCCAAGTCTGGCACACATATAACAGCTATAGTACGAAGCCTTTATGATAAAAACAAGCCACAAAAATTCTCTTAACAAATAAAGCCTACTTTTAAAGGCTCCAGAAAATAAGATTATTCTTTCAATAAATTATTTTAATCCTAAGCCCTTTACATCCAGTAAAAGTCATCAAAGTTTATAATAATGTCACAGTAGTGCCAATAAAGGTTAAGTCTTATTGAAAAAGAAAAAAAAATTATTAAAAATGACTACTGAGTGGAGGAAAGTACATGGGACCTAAAATGCTTCAAATTGAAACACAGAAGGCAAATAACTTATTTTAGAGATTTGCTCAATTTCTCCAAAATGTGATTAAGAATTAGGTAATATTGTAATTTTGGGCATGTATTTCATTTGTGAACAAATTTTCAAAAAAAATAGAGTCTATTGAATTTTATCTGGAAGATTTAAAAACTTCAAATAGATTTTCATTCCCACACAATATTTTTATGCTGACTAAAAATAAAATATAGGCTATTTCAAGGTCTCATTCATAAATATGGATTTATTATTTTCCCAGAAAACATAAAATTCTAATAATGCTTACCCTATCCTATAGCTAAGACTCTGTGTTCTTCAAATAGAGAGAGAAATTCCATTTAACAACTTGCATGTAACATTTAAAACCCAAAGCCCATATTACTGATGTACACACATCTATAATGTTCACTTCAAAACTTTAAATGACAAAAGATTATATTATTGATGCACACAACTGTCCACAAATAAGTGAACCTCAGACATCAAGGGCTTTTAACACAATTAACAAAAAATAGTAATTATGTTTCATCTGGTAAGAATTCAAAAAAGCACAGGGTAGCTTGGAATTGTGTATGTATTATTATTAAAAAGGAGAGTGATACTTGTATGTTCTCTATTGGCTATAAACTAAGAACATACATATCACTGAAAAAGCTGAAGTTATTTATTACAGAGAAAATTTAAAATGAATTATATAAAGTAACTTGAAACAAACAAATCAAAATGAAAATCATAATGCTGAACCTTCACACTGTCTTTTATCCCCATAATAAAATAAATACAATTTAAATACCAAAATATAATGTAAAAACTAAAATGAGTCTTAATGACAGGCAATAAAAAAAAACCCATGTGTGTTAGATGAATGAACCAGATAAACTGTTAAGTATAATTTTAGCACTAAGATTTTATAATAGCTATTCATAAAGATGTAAGTTATTGTGGATAATTTTAGTTATAACATTTCAAACTGCATAATCTTCCTAATATTTCTTTTTCAAGCAAAATAATTCCATTTCAGGTTAAAATAATTATAGACTTAATATTAATTTAATAAGGAATATTAAAATTACACATGGAGTTTTCTACTGGCTACTTCATCTTCAACTTTTTTTTCATAGCGCTTAATAAGTTTTTAATTACTGATCATAATGTGTACTGGATTACTTAGATAATAAAGATAAAACATTTTTAATTGAAATTCAGGACTGGAATTTAAAGTTTTATTTTTCCAAAATGCTGATCTGCCTCCCAAAGAAATTATTTAAGACCTCATACAAAAGTGGTATGATAACAGGACATGACCTCAGGATTCCATGTCACTTCAAAGCTTCAATCTTTATACTGTACTGATATGAAAGAAAGCATGACCTATGAACGGGAGCTGAATTTTATAAAGGTACACACAGGGACAATATTAATAGCAATAATACAACAGAATTTTGTTAATAGCTAGATTAGATAATAACTATGAGAAAGTCATGTTATATTTCAGTGGACTTTAAATTTTCCCATCTTTGCTTCATTCACTAGTTTTTTCATCAATTCAAAATTGAAGGATTTTATGTGCATACTAATGAAGCATTCCTATATTACTTTTGAAGTAGAAATTAATGTTTGCCTATAAAACTTTCCCCTTAAATTCTCTAAACATAGCAATGTACACAGCCAAAATAGCTGTTAAAATTCACATTTCACTTCTTACATATATGATTCTAAGATATGATTAAATCAGAGTTTTATGCATGAGATATTTTTAATAAAAAGGAGGGAAGCTACAAAAACAGAAATAAACCTACTTAGAAGATATTGAATTTTTATAGACACAGATATGCCACTGGTTAGATTTGGGCTCTCAAACATGAACTATATATAAAGAAAAGCTAATGTCTGTGCTACTCTTATGATAACAGCATTATAAAATAATACCAGTATTTAAATTATGTAACTGTTATTAAATATTATTCTTAAAAATAAACTTTACCCTAATAATTTTATTTAACCTGACAGGATTTCTCATGGACAATCCAACCTATGAGTATTTGCAAAGGATAATGTTGAGAGTAATATTTTTCCTCAACTGCATAATGTAATCACTATGTTTCCTCTGGTAAGAATTTTTTATTTATAATGAAGGAAGTCACTCTTCTTTAGGGTTAAATATGTATCTGCCTTACTCCTAAAAAACTTTTATTCAAACTCTAAGAATAAAACCCAAATATTATAATACATTTATACAATACCAAGTATACCAGGTGTAATCTAAGTAAGTAAAAAATATAAGAAATTACACATTAAAAAAAAAACTTACCAGACAGTTGTTTCCACTTGACTGTCATTGAGCTGTCGATTGTCCAGTTGGGCAAAAAGTGGGAAAAGCACTTGAATCCCTCCAATTGAATGAATTGCACTATGAATTGAATGTGTTACTATAGCTTTCACATCCTACATTCAGAAAACAAAAATGTTGATAACATTTCTGAAGCATAATATTATCACTATTTCCTTGTTCCAGATAACTTCAAATACAATTAAATAACATTAGCTAGACATTTTAAAAACTTTCAATTATACAATTTTTGATGCTGATATAAAATAGAAATTTGAAATCTAAGTTGAGAGATTTTTTACACTAAAAATATGAAGCTATAAATCAAGAGATTTTTATAATAAGAAATACTGTTAATGGATTTAAAGATTCTCAAGGAATTTTATGTTAGGAAGATATACACTACTGTTATTAAACCAAAGTATATTTTTATATTAACAACATCTGTTCAGTTAACCAACTGATTTTATTTCAAAGGCTATAGAAGATACGAGATCAGAAATGACAGATATCCTATTAAGGAGACAAGTCCAAGATAAAGTATATTGCCCAAAAAAAGGGAAGAAGGAAAAAAATGTCATTCAAAGAACTAGAAAACCAAAAAGAAAAACAAAGAGTAGTTGTAGATTTATAGATGAACAATGTTTAATATGTAAAATAAAAATACTGTTAACCAGGATGAGAACATGAAAACTAAGTTACTATTCACCCACCTGGAGCATTAAAGCATGTGGGGAATGCACAAAAATTGATGCATTTTCCTTTGGTGAGGATTCCAGGCATAGTTGAGCATCAGTGGCCTTGGCATTATACGTAAATGCAATACTACTTGCAAGTTTTCCATCATATAGAACCTGTTTATGATGTTCTGCCAAATGAATATCACTCTCAGATTTAAACTTGAAGGTGCTCTGAAAAAATAAAACTAAGTTAAATACTCATTTTGAAGGCAATACACAATAAAACCCTAAAGTTTTAAAGAACAGAAACATTTAAGGTAAAATACTTGTTGTGACCCTTCCACGCATTAATCAATGGTATTATATTAATCTGTTATTCTCACTTCAGTTCTGTAAGAGTTTTAAATTTTATTATGCTAATAAACACATCTTCATTTTCTCATTCTTATTGTTTTTACTATAAACTGTTTTTATTAGAAAACATAAAACCAGATGATATTAAATGTAAATACAATTTTACTTTAATACTCTATAACATAAATTTTTCTTGTTATTACTTTCAAGTGTACACACACACACACAGTGGCTGGCACATGAATAACTTCTATGCAAGTTTATCAACATATTGAATATCAACGTTACTCCACAAAAGCCTAATTAATCCCAAACAAGAAATTCATGTTACCACCTGTTGGAATGGCTATTATCAAAAAGACAAATAAGAACAAGTGTTGGGGCAGTTGTAGAGAAAAGGGAACCCTCCAATTCACTGACACTGGGAATGTAGACTGGTACAGCCACTATGGAAAACAGAATGGCAGTTCCTCAAAAAACTAAGAATAAAGTTATCATATGACCCAGCAATCCTCTCCTGGGCATCTACCCCAAAAACTGGAAAACAAGTATTTGCAAAGATAAATGCACCCCTATGTTCATTGCAGCATTATTCACAGTGGCCAAGACATGGAGATAACCAAAATGTCCTTTGATAGGACTGAATAAAAAAGATGTGGTACATATGTACAATGGAATACTATTCAACCATAAGAAAAAAAACAAAATACTGCCATTTGTGACAACATGGATGGACCTATTATGCTAAGTGAAATCAATCAATCAGAAAAACCTAAGAACCATATGATTTCACTCATATGTGTGATATAAAATTGAAACTTGTGGACACAGACCGCAGTGTGCTGGTTACCAGAGGGAAAGGAGTGGGAAGGTGGTGGGGGGTGGAGATGAGCCTAATATATGGAGACAGGAGATGGTTTCGTTTGAGGGATGGGCACACGCTACAATATACAGATCTTATATCACAGAAAAGTAAACTTGAAACCTATATGGTCCTATTAACCAATGTCAACCCAATAAATTTGATAAAAACTTTTTAAAAAAGATTATAAACTTAAGAAAAAACGTATTACCACTTTAAATAAGAGAAAAAATAAAAATATACCAGCTGTAATAAGAAAGGTATTGTTAGAAATGGTTAAAATTTCTCTGCAGATATGAACCTGACAATGAAAAAATAAATTTAACCTTTGCAACAATCATGTGTTATATGTATTATTATTTTCAACTTATGACGATGCAAGAAACCATAAATAATAGTTTACTCATAATTGTTTGCCAAAACATTAAAATGCATTAAGTAGTAATTAAATTAAACTAAATGCTACACAATGTTCACTAATAATGAAGCATTTTAAGTTTAAGTCTTAAAATAAAAGCTACATCAGCAAAAACATGGCAAATCAGATTATTTGCTTTCTTAAAATAAGCTGTTATAAATCTTTTATGTAAAATTAAAATATAAAATGTAAATTTCCCTTTTATGAACTTTTTGTATTTTAAGAATTTATTTTTATAAATAAAATTCTATGGGTATGGAACCAAAAATACTTAATAGTATTAGTCTCAAATTATCTAGAAATCTACACTAATAAAAGAGAAACATGCAAATTGGTGTCACACCGCTACCCTTCCCATTGGCTAATCAGGGCAATATGCAAATTAAC